ATTCATATATTAATCCTAAATACAATTCTCTTTTTGGGCAGTCATGTAAAATAAACTGCACGATCTAATTGATTGTTTTAAGAAAATTGTAGTTCAAATGGGTATTTTGCTCGTACATATTTACAATTTGCTTAAACATACATTAGTTTATTATACACAAATGCATGTTACATATCTGCAGACAGCAAACATTGCACTACTTCCGTAATTATAAGGTTGTTATGATCCCGCCTTTTTCCATCCAACCACAATGTAAACACGGTGCAGTACACGCTAGCCCCCTGACTAAACATTGCGAAAGCATCGATGGAATTATTGCGTGTGGCGTACGCGCAATGTTTATATACAATATCATCAAAGGATGGGCGTTTTGTGAGTAAAGAGGTTACACATCTAAACTGGGCTAAGGCGCAATATTTTTCATTTTAAATTATTTTGTCTGTGCACATTTTGTATTAAACCTATTAATAATTAACATATTAATACCTTATTCAGACTACAAAAAAATATCATCGATTGTTCAACTAAAAAAATATTTTATAATAGGTATGTATTTTTAAAAATTTAATAATATTTTTTCTTAAACATTTTTTTTACAAAATATGAAAGAACCACAAATAAATAAAGTTTTTTATTACGCAAATATTAACACAATGTCAGGATGAATATATCTTTCATTATTTGCCGTGTCTTTTGCGTGTAGTAAACTTCTAAAATAAAGAAAAACTAGAATTTCCCCTTAACCGTGAGCTTTTAAAAACAAAGGTTGGAGCTAGCTCATCCCTCCCGTTAAAATAGTAACGTTAATAAGGTAACACACAACTGTACAATAAATAGCTTTATTACCTATGTGATTGTGTATGACAATGTATTTGTTAAAACTATAAATTACCTAATTAAATATTTCAGAAGAGATTACTGTCCCCGTTACTTTTATAGTGACAGAGTATAGCGAAAAGCTGAGTAAAAAATAGTTTTACTCAATTGCTCACAAACTATTACGATATATTGTATTTGAAAAGTGCTACTATTAAATCCGTTATAAACTTACTCGCACATTTATCAATTTTCCCTTTAAAAAGGATTTTATTAGGATTAGATTTATTTAAAATGATGATGTTGTTAGTCTCATATTTAATTATAGCTTAATTGGACATTATTTCTTTGTTCAAAACCTGTTTAAGGTGACTTTGGTGTGAATGCCCTCTTCAGGGTAGAAAAAATTATTATAATTATAATTATCGTTTACGTAAGTCAGTGCTATTGGTTAAAATCGAATCAATTCTTCCGTTAGCGAGTTGAGTTTATTTGTTTGCGAACCTTCGTTGGCCACCGGCACTGCACAGATTATTTGCAGAGGCGCGATCAAAAATAAATACAGTGCATACCGTTTACAAATGTGGACATTTTAACGGTCCAATTCTACTTTGTAGTTGAAATAAATTTCCTGGTTTCATGTCGATCGCGAATATTGTAATTTTGTGAGCAAGACGATAACTTTATAAGAAGAAAGATAAATAAATATGAGTGATAAACAACGTTAAAAAAAAGCACAAGATAATAATTAGTCGTCGTTCATCATCTATTAATTACATTCTTTCTTTTTAACTCAAGAACAGTGATTTCTTTAACAAATTGCATTATTATTTCAGTCATGTAGGATATTAAAATGAATTGCAACTTCTATGTAAAAACTTTTAAAATTAAAATATTTACGTAATGTCAATTTTCAACTACATAAGAATCGTTTTATTTTTATTATTTAATTTTATAAATAGTGTACACCAATGATGTTATCTGTAATATAATACCTACCTAGAAACTAGAATATGTAGACTATATAATGTAATATGTAGTAGATTAAATTTAAATATAGTAGCATTTTTTGGTTTACTAGCTTATAGCTTTTCAGTTTCGGGGAATTCAGTTGTTATCGCACTTCGTATTTACATCCCGTACTTCAACCCCTATATGTTGCCGAGGTCTAATATCTATACATAAAATAAGTTTCATCAAAATCCGTCCGTAGTTTTTGTGTGAAAGGCGACCAATAGACAGACAGATAAAATATTCAAATCATATTTTTGACTTCTGTAACTTTTATTAGTATTTTTATTTACATACAGACTTAATGCCTTCTACACTTTTATTATATGTATTGATAATGCAGTTTTATTGTTGTTGTAATACTAGTTAACCAAATAGATATAATATAGACTGCCCGTTACAGTGTCCGCCAGTGTATACAACTGCCACAGAGTATTTATAGAGATGTATTTAAAGCCGTCGATAGATGATCGTTGTTTATTTGCTGTCGAAGGAGTCAATCACCCATTTATAGCAAATACAAATAGCTGTCAAATTTATGTGTTAAACAAACAAAAAAAAAACAGCATTGTGTACTATATGTATACTTTATTGTAGCCTAAAGGTAGTCTATTATAGTAGAAATAGATTGATATGACATGACTTAAGTGATCCTTGGTAAGTCAATAAAAATATGACAGAAACGCCTCCAGAGCGAGGCAGATGCGTCACACCTCAGAACAATAATAAATATTCCGAGCGCCACACTGCTAATTATCAGGTGAGATTCCGAACTGAAGATATAGTCATAAAAAGTTTTTTATTGATGCTATACGTATAGTTCTTGATTTATTATTTACTTACATAATTAATGGTTTTGGTTGCTACAGTTTTCAGAATTATATTAAGTTTGAGTAGATTATCTAATATAGAATTACATGCTTGAGTAAATATATAAAAAATAATTAACATATTGGTATGAAGGAAAATTAATTGATAAAATAAATAAAATATTTTTATTGCTAAGACTCGACTAGAGCCCTGGAACATATCAACCCAAGATTCCTAATATACAAGTTTGAATGATGTATTTGAAATTTATTTGTTCTGCTATTACGGGGCCGATGATATGCGACGCATTTTCCATCAAATAAGAACTGACCCTAAAGGTGTGACTCATCTAAAGTACAATAGTAAGTTAATAAACAAGAGACATTGGTTTTCGTACAAATATTCGTCGTCGTGGTGTCAATATTTCATACAAGTAGATAAAGTATCACGTATATTGGTCAGATTTCATAAGCTGCTGTACTCGTAGAGATACGAACTTAGGACGTCAGAGAAGGCGACATTAAGATACCGGTGTGCGTAATTCGTCAATGGTGACCTTTATTAAGTTCTCTTTGGTAATATAGAAAACAATCGCACATCAAACCTTTTGTGTGTGTGTAAACTTGTCTCAATGTAATATCGAATAAAATCTTATAGTACTACTAATAAACAAGGGTTAGCGTCGGAGTAAATTTACCCTAAAATTGCAGTGTTAGTATTAGTCCATTTATATAGAGATAAGCAAACCTACTGCAACGGGCTCGATGCTTAGGCAAATTAATAAAAGGCTGACTAAGCTTGAGAACTTGATGAAAATAAAACCCTTTTCTTCGGGTTTGGTGAGTAATTAAACTTTCTTAATTACTTTGATTTGGATTGGATAAAGTATACATTTTTCTTGTGTTCAAAATCGTGAGCATAAGGGAGATTTAAATACTTTTTTACAACAAATTGTTATTGATTGAAATTAAGTAAGTATCCTATTAATATTATAAATGTGAAAGTTTCTTTGTTTGGATGTTTAGATGTTTGGATGTTTGTACGTCAACTACGGAACGGATTTTGATGAAATTTGGTATACAGATAGGGTGTTAGCTGACTTTTTATCCCACTTAACATTTCCCTAGGGTCCACGCGGGCGAAGCCGCTGGCGAAAGCTAGTGTATAATATTTCTAACTCGACGAATTTTCACGAACTGACATTCATAAAGTATTACGAATTCGAATTACGAAAAGTGAATAATAAAAATAAATGACGTTGAAGTTCAACGACAATAAGTTTGCATACGGAAACCTAGGACGAAATAAACGGTGGTACGGCGCACCGTTACACTACTTCGATCTAGGAGTAAATATTACTCCAGTAGAACCTGGTACTAGGTTAACCTTTGCTAAGTCTCTGTTTAGTAATATGAATTTTGACTAATACTAATGCAGTCTCAGTGTAAATTTAATCCAACCCTCAACCTTGTTTATTAATAATACTTTAATATCATGTCTTGATTCGATACAAAAAAAGACAAGAAGATTTGCGCTTAAAATTAGAAGACTAGTTACAGTTTATAACATAAAACAAGCTGATCGCAAAGATTATATTCATGTTTGAAAACACAGTGATGTGTATAATTTAGCATAATTCCAGAAGATTGCCACTTTTACTATAATTCCCCATCTAAACTAATCCGGACATGACGCCATAATTTCATGTACTCACCCCATAATTTAACTACATTCTGATGACGAAGTATAGTAAACTGCTTTGTAAAGTCGTCTAGATATGGAACACGCTGGGGAGTTTCGTGTTGACGCAGTAATGTATGTGTACCATGTCGATGCGACCACAGGCTGGTAGCTGCGGTAGGTCTGTCATCTCACATTATTTAAATTGCATGTATCGCCTTGGGTAACGTGTCCGATGCATGTCTGTCCGTTCGTCGAGAACTAGTCGTGAGCTCGTCATACACGCATCGATGTAGGTAGGTTGGTTGCCGTTAGCTTTAGACATGTGTAAATATTAACATTATCTATGACATGGCCTTATGTTAGCTTGAATAAGGGAGGGTTTACATTATCTTCACTTTCATGTCGATATTCAGTATACATTATTTTATTTGTTTGAGAGTAATAGTAAAAATTAAAAAAGTTTTAAAAATTGTAAACTTACTATAGTTATTGTATTTTTTTTACACCTTATCTAACTTCGCTTTGAAACTTGAGCGTTGAAAACTCTACAAACACAGTGAATTATTATGCTAAAATTTTTACATCATTACTTATTCTTCCTTTTTAAAAATAGTTTACACGTGTTTTACATATTTAGGGCCATCTAGCGGTGGCTGTTAAAACTAGCATGCAATACTCACCGGTGCAGCCGGTGGCATTGAGGCTATAATGTTCGTCGAGGCAGGTGTCGCAAGATGGCGGTGCCGCGCCGGGAGCGCATGCACACTCGCCGGTTACCGGGTCACACTCGCTGCTGCGTGCCGCTACCCCGCAGTGACACGCCGGACACCCTGCTGCTATACCTAGAGGCGGAAAACTCGATTTCAGTATCAGTGATATGATAATACTATTTGGTAAAATTACAGAAATTTCAACAAAACCACATTACGTCGACCTTAAATCTTTTTTATTAAACGGTAAGAGTTTATTGTGCCTAGTATGCATGGAGGCAGAGGAAATGACATCTTAAGTCTTGCTGAAGGAGTGAGTCGTGTCAAAGCAATCTAGGCGAGAAAGGTTGAGTTGAATGAGATAAGAATACTATCGGCCACTACAACTGTACTTCGTATCCTTATGAGCACGACTATAGACCTTACCACAGACTAAAGTAGCTAGGTCATCTCTCGCTTTAAACCAGAGAGATCTTCTTTAAATCATAGTTAATCAACCAGACCTGTCCCTCTCATTAAACACTAAGAATTACCGACAGCTCTCTTTCCAGGGCGTGTATGTAAACAGAAGAGACCATCGCTCATGCATTCCTGCAATGAGAGAATCTAACCTCACACCTAATAAATATACTTGGCAATTTGTTAACCTCGAATCTCTGAAGACCCTTAAAAATTTTCTGCGCTTCTCGGAGTTGAGATTGGCTGGAGTTAGACAATCAACTTTTGACGCACAATGGACAGATTAAAGCGTCTTAGTGCGGAAAATTGAAACCTTCACACCAGTCATACCATCTTTTTTTTTAATTGGAATAATTTGCGTCTTTGTTACAAAAAAATTTTAATAAATATTGTCCTTCGTATTATTACGTCAGGTATCTAATTCTGCCAGGTTGGAGGTTTTTTCAAATAATGTTTATGACGTCACCTCCGTGTCCGGCGGCGCATTGGTCGCAGGCGCGTCCGGTCCAGCCCGGGCGGCAGGCGCACAGCCCCGAGCGCGCGTCGCACGCGCCCGCCAGCGCGCCGCCGCCGCACGCGCACGCCACGCACACCACGCCCAACCCGTCCTCCGTGCTGGTCGCATTCTCACCGAACCAGTAACCTTCCTGTACATTATAGGTAAAAATTTTTTCAATGCAGTTGCTCATAAAGCGCTATTTTTTTAATCCATTGTAAACACCGAAAGTGAGTCTTTAAACACGTGTTAAATAAAAATGTACTGAAATCCTTTACTGCACACGTGCTTAAAAGTATTTTTTTATTTTTTTTTTGGCCGAGCACCAAAGAAATAAAAAAAAAAATGAAAATATGTCAAACTTTTGAGGCAAAAGTATTTCAAGGAGCCTATAACGAATATATTAAAATAAAAATGTATGACACGAAAACATGTTCAAATATCACGTTTAATTTTAACAAATAATTTTTACCTTTAATACATACTTAGTTTTATTAACCTATATATTTGTTTTATTTCCCCGCAAAAAGCATTGAAAAATGTTGTAAGAAACTTGAGCGTAAAAGGTTTTTCGAATTCGTGCAATCAATTTGGCCCTTATTCGTAAAACCTTACTTTCCGCACTCGTATCTTAAATAACTATAATGATCTAGGTGTTTTCAGTTTGACACATTAAATTTATCCAACACTATCGCAGATTGATAAAGAACAGAACAACGTTTATAAATAGATTTTTAGCACGAAAGATGATGAGCTTAAGATAGAATAGGTGATTGGAAAATGCAAGATCCAAATAAATCAACATGAAATGGACGGGTTAAATAAAACGTCTATTTCATTGTGATTCTACTCCTTAAATATAAAATAAATAACTACTAGTCGTATGAATTAACATGACACAATTTCGTCGTAAATGATATTTCGTCTATTTTCATAATGCCAAAATGACTCTAAAGAAACGCATTTTTTGAGAATTTATGATGCAATAGAAGTAAGACCTGATAATACCTATAATTTCTGATGTACAGATAAAATAATAATAAGTTCGATGAAAAATAGAATAGGCCCTCAGGTGTTATATCAATTCGTACTCGTACTAGTTATATTAGACAAAACATCACACACATTGCTCTGATCCTAATTTAAGTAGACGAAGCGCTTGTATTATGGAAATCTGAAACAAAGAGGGTAACACCCTTACACTTACACTACAACTTAGAACTTACAACTTAGAGGTAATAACACCTTGAACCCGGCGTGTGGGTCACTTAATTGTAAACGTTTTTCAAACGATCATCACGTAAATGATTTGGCAGAAGCATGATACAGTGCGTCGTTACCTCGCACTGGTCGCAGCGCGCGCCCTCTGCGTGCGGCGGGCAGGTGCGGCAGGCGCCGGTGCGCGGGTGGCACGGGGAGCCGCCGCACGCGCACGGCTGGCACCGCCCGCCCGGCGTGCTGGGGGAGCCCCAGTAACCGAAGTCGCAGCTGACAACAGAGAACAACTTTAATACGTTACCGTCGATATTCTTTTTTATTGGCAAATATATAAACAGGATATCATTCGTCGAACTAATGTCAATCATTAATATTTATATGACGGTGTCCGAATCTCACATTGATAGAAAAATTTACGTATTGAAATTATTGCTTGCTTAGTTATATGATTTATTATTATCGTATAGTTATCAATACATTGTATTGTTTCAGCGTAGTGCTGTGTTTTGTTGTACGGGACTCGAGTCATCAATAGCACATCACGGTGTACAAAAAAGACAAATTTCATGTGATTTTTAAACAAGGGGTTTACCCCTAATATGTTTATATTAGTGTTGTGTGTGTATGCGCATATTATTCTTTACATAAATTTCATTATTATTATTAAAATCTCTTACTTCTCACAGTGGTCCCCAGCATAGCCATCTGGACACTGAGTGCAAACAAATTCATCGCCTTCGGCACTAGCCAGCGCACAATTAGGACTGAAGTTGTTCGACGGCAAGTACAATGGACACGCACACGGCTTGCAATCACCCTAGAACAACCGAATGTATCAAAGCCAGCTTGAAGGACCATAAAATTTTACACGCAATGATATTACTAAAAACTTATTGGGGCTTCGAATTACCTGTACCGGGTTTCCGTAATGTCCTGGTAAACAGCGTTCACAATGTGGTCCTGTCGTATTGTGTTGACATTCACCACAGGGCCCATCCACTGAGATAGAAACATTATATTGTTTAATAATTTTACAATCGAATCAATCAAATGCCAAATGTATTTGGCGAATTTTACAATGTGATGTTAATATATATATCAGTATATTATATAACTGTACGTATAGTGTAGTTACCGGTAGTGCACGTGGCGTGTTGATGGCAGGGGCAGGGCAGACATTGCCCCGCATGCGACAGATGGTGCCAGGCGCAGTGCTGGCAGTGTCTGCCCGCGTACCCCACCCCGCACGCACACTGCTCCGTCACCACCTCCACGCCACGACTATGCACCTTCACCCACTCTATGCGAACCTGCACCAAAATAATATTTATGAATAATTTTTACAATGTCATCAGAGTTAAAGTTACTCGATTAATAAAATAAAGGCGAAAATACATTTTAATTGTCAAACACCACACTGACAGTATTGCAATTATAAGATGACTAACGATCTTCGGAAATCCCGAATTATCAAGAATATATACCGAAGACTAGGAAAAAGAGCACATTTTCAACTTGAGAATATGAGCAATGATATCCAAATTTCCGATATTCGTTTCTTTTACCTCGTCTTGATCAAAATGGAAGTGCGCTCTGAGCATCAACGCCTTCAAGTTAGCCAGCACGTCCATCAGTTGAGTCCTGGTGATCGGTAAGCCTGGCTCCTCCAAAGAGTACCAGCTATCTTCTAGCAGTGGAGCCGTTAGCGTCAGTTGACCGGGTTGCTCATGGCTCGTGTTACCAAATGCTAATTTTGTACCATCTGTAAGTAGAGACACATATTTATATATTATATTAATTTTACTAAGCTAATTTTCATTATTTTCATGTTTTAAATAAACTGCAGTTGCCACCACTCTGAACATTAAAAATCGAACAAGAGCGAGTCGTACTACCACACCGAGGGTCCTGTATTTCATAAGTTAGGTACAAATACTTCTAGAATTGAATAAAATATGCACAAAGTCAAAATATCTTTAGTCAAATAAGCTTAATCTTCCGACATTTTTTCCCTACCGCTCAAGTCCTTTAATGAGATATCCGACTTGAATTCGTAGCTTCAATTTAAAATCCGACCGTGTGTTGGAGTATTTTCATGATATAACTAATTACAAATGTATAGAATGATCAACGGAATGACCTACAAATTTTGATTCTCTCAAGAGTATGGAAGTATGCGCTTTTTGCAAGGAATCGGTCTCATGTATTGGATAATGAAACGTGCCTCATATTCGCTATATCCAAAATGGGTGAAGAGGAGTGTCAAATTGATCACAGCGCGCGATGTGGTAGAGATGTGAAAAATGATTCCATTTTTCAATGTTTGCATTCAGTTCGTAATCTAATAGTTGGTATTGTAATCATCGCTCGTCCGTTAAAATGATGGGCAAAGGCTACAACAAGTGTAGACTGACCATGTGCTTGAAGTATGAAATCAGGTCCCTGCGTGGGGCTCCCGCCGGTGTCGCCGCGCACCACGCCCCAGCCGAGGGCGGCGCTCACCTGCCCCCCGTACCATTCCAGCTGTTCGCCGCTCCAGGCCGAGCTCACCCAATAGTACAACTCCCAGCCCTCCACCTGATCACAGTATACACATCTAATCAGATTTATTGGAAGAATGCGTAAAGGTGTTGATAATTTCAAAATTATCAAAATGTATTGTTGCCACAAAACCACTTATATGTTGTGATTAAAGAAAATACTACTGGCAAAATGATATTACTTCTATATAACCAATCACTAACCTCGTAGCTTATCAGAAATGGATTCCCCTGATCATCGATCGAGGGTTCGACGGTCTCATTGCCCATAGAATCGGTCACCTTCCACGCTTCACCCATTGGCAAGATTATCTGCAAACAAGATAAGATTACAACGACGACTACTCAGCGAGTGGATTCGAGTGAACAAAGGTACGACGACAAAAGAAGTTGATAGTATTTAAAATATTACAAAAATATTTCATTAAAATAATGTAACTTTGGATTTTAATAATTATATTATATATCTTAAAGATGTTTGTCTAGATATTTTATTTTTTAATTCAAATATTAACTTTAAAAACTTCATTGCGGTAACTGTAAAGTAAACAAGCACCTTTAAGTTATGTGTACAACACGCAAATAAATACACGCAAACAATTAAATACATGAACATTGTTAAATATCATAGTTTTCCAGATATGGTTCTTTAGAACTGACCAATACTGAATGCGCAGTGAACTCACATCAGGTGGAGGGGGTGTATGATCAGCGGGTAGGCAGGAGTGTGCGTGATGCGAGCAGTAGCAGCGGGTACAGCCCGATCCCGACCAGAAATAACCGTCAGCGCATACGTCACAGCGCTCACCCAACACGTTTGCCTGGATACATAAGACAGAAATTGGTTTGATACACGAGGCAGAAACAGGTTGTCTAGAATTAGGTTATCGGTATATCAGTATTTATATGGGCACACGGCTTACGCTCTGGCGTAAATTATTACTGACATAGTACAGTTAATATTCTTCTGGAAGAAGGATATGCCACAAATAGGTGTTATTTTGCAGAAGTCCATTGCTTCCACGAACATTCATTATCCGTAAGACCTGCTCTATACCGCCCGCATACAAATTCAAATGGACAAACGGTACATACTGACTGGGTGTAGAAGTTTCTAGATATCAGAGTTTCGCGGTTATACGACACTATGTCAACCTCATAGAATGTAGCTACCTGTAGGTGATAATCGGTCCAGTGCATTCGGAGTCTATTCGATGCAAACAACTATACAAACAATCAATGAATCAAATCTTTTCTTTATTAGTATAGAAAAGTTCAAATATAAAATAAATTAAATAAGTGATTTTACTAATAATTCCCAATTGACTGATTCCGGCATAAAGCTATATCAAAATCTTCGATTTATCACCAGTGTAAATGTACTACAATGTAGGGAGTAAAACTAAGGACAAACTAGACGCATCTATTTTCAAGGATAGTAACCTCAATAAAATTCATAACAGTTTAACAGTAGACTGCAATCATTAGTCGACTTACCTTACACTCGCAAACGTCGTCACAAACACGCGTGGGGTCTACGATGCCCCCGGGATTACACTTGCAGGTAAGATCAGGGGCTGAGGTGACATCTTGACAGTTTGGGAACACTGCGTTAGGATTCTCGCAAGCGTCACACGATTGACCCGTGAAGCCCGGATAACACGTGCATAGAATATCGTGCTGTCTGCGATCCCATTGGCAAGACCCTAAAAACACCATATAAGTAATAATAATAATCGCATTAGCTGTACAAAAAGAAACCTCCAGAAGGCATGCATTATAGTAAATGTTATAACTAGTTTTAGTCCCAATACGATGTATAAGCCCACAAATAAAATGTCATTATTTTTAAAAGACTGCAGAAACAAATGAAAGTAAGTAGTCGGAATATGGGGGTACCATCAGATCCTTCAGGGTCACAGTCGCAGGGCAGGCAGGGTCCGTCGGGCACGTCGCTGTAGAACCCGCTCAGGCAGCGGTCACACAGTGGACCTGCACGATTCTCCTGCAAGAACATATAACCGTATAGAAGCATTTTCTCGCAATTATAATTTGATAAATGTCTTTTGGTCATTCGTCTTGTAAATAAAAAGAAGTTCTGTATAGCTTTCAGATATATTTTATTGTAAAATAAATAACTCAATATTGCACGTCGGTTTTAAAGTGTCACCATTATTGAGGCCCGGATTCGATTCCCGGTTCGGTCAAAGTGAACATTTCTATAATCATATCGGGTTTGAGTGTTGTGTTACTTTCGTTGTTTCAGTTTTGGCTTGTTCATTTTGGTTGTCTACGTAACTTTTTCTGAAATTTATATACTTATTTCTAAACTAGTTAAAATGTGCATTAATAAATAATATTTCCTTTATTGGTATCACTACAATTACTAAATACATATGTGCAATGTACATGTTATCCTCATCTATAAATCAAAAGTTTATCAATACTTTCCCCGCACAAACAACAGAGGAAGAACAAATGCAATAAACAATTACGTATTTTACTAAAACAACGTATTGCTGTCATATAACAACCAAAAATAACATCTCGCTTCTTTATATCTATTATTCCCGATATCCCAAAATATTCGAATCCGCAAACGTACCGTACAATTGACGCACAGTATGGCTCCAGTATCGTCGTATGCGCATGTACCCCTCTCCTCGCAAGAGCACTCCGGTGTACCGCCGTTACCAGAACAAGGCTCATGTGGCAGCCACCGCTCCCCGGAACAACAACGTTGGCAATGATTTCCGCAAGTGCCATGCTGGCAGTCACATTTTGCACTCTACAAGAAAGGAATTCTCTATAAAAATTGGATTAGTTTAAAACTCTATCCGACTTTGAGTGCATTCGATCTAATTGAAATCAGTTGCAAGGATCATGGTTGGACGTTTTTTAAAATCAGTATTTCTACTTAATGATTTGGGAATACTGATTTGGATTGTTATTTAATATCTGTAAGTAACATAAGTACCTTACTATCGCACGCTCTAATAAGGTGTGATTTATTATATTAGGTCCTGTTAAAAGGTCAGCTAATCAGATAACATTAGCGTAATAATGATAATTTTTAACTATTCACGTCATAGATTCAATGACGCATTGTATATTTGGTGACGAATACAAATATAACACTTAAAGGCCAGATCGGAGTGGCAATTAGGCACTACAAAATTGTTAAGGTTATAATAAAAGATACAAATAATTAGTTATGAATTAAAAACATTTTTGTTTTATTATATTTGCAAATAAACTATTCAAGCCAACTTGTGGCTTAACATATTTTTTATTAGAATAAGTAATCAATACATATATTCTTAACGCTCATAGAGGTATACTAATATATATTACGAATAAAATTTAACAAAATCAGCTTTATCATTACCTTGTGGAAGTTTATTGTAATAAGTGTAAGCCTATGATGATATTTAGGAACTTCCACACCTGTTAAATCCTGAAAGATACCTGTGCACTGCCTGAAAATAAAACGCCGTGGAGGGTTGACTAAAGCACGTGCAGGGTAGAAATAGTTGGTGGTTGTGGTAAATTTTATGCCGTTTGTGCACGCGCATTTATTTGCGGACAGTGCACAGATACTTTGTAGACGCTAACTTGGGTGGATGTTGATATATATTGTAGTTTTACAGTTAAAATACAGTTAAAGTTTTTCTCAGTATGCGTTGTATGGATGGATTGCGAAATTTTATGCTTTTGCAAATGGTTGATAAGTAACTAAATGAAATACGTCCTTATTACATAAAAAATGACATATATCATGATAAATAATCTTGCATGAGACCAGCCCTTTCCCCTTGCACTCAGCTATCATGATCCTAATGAATAACTGGTTGTGTTTACCTGGTGGTCCACGTGGCAGAGTGTCGCGTGCCCGTGGCACAGGCATCGTGCGGCGAGTGTGAGCGCTCGCACCGTGTAGTACTGCTGCCGGGAGGGGGTCGCGTGCGCGGCGCGAAACGATATGCGCACGCGACGGGCTGAGACTCCGTCGCCGAGGCCCACGTGCATCTGACAATGATTTGATATTCTAATGTGTGTTGTGTTAAAATTTTGTGCTTAAAGTTTGTAATAATTAGCTTTCCGCCAGCGGCTTCGCCCGCGTGGCAACGATGACTTGGCAGTAGATTTATCCCTAGGAAACAATTAATGTGTTAAAAAGTAGCATTATATTAATTCAATCAGCCAAAATTTCATAAGAATCGGTTAACTACTTTTTGCGTCAAAGAGTAATGATGCATGAAAGAGTAACAAACATCCAAGAAACAAGAAAGAATTATACATATATAGTATACAATGATTAAGCGGGGAATTCACTAGACGGGCATGCCCGCGGGCAAGTCGACAGACGTCGTTACTATAGGTCTGTGTAATAACAGCGACGGTCCAGCATTGGCCAGACATATCCGCCATATACTAAAAGAGGTCTTGCAGACATGTCTGTAAACTTGGCCGCGGGAATGACCATCTAGTGCATTCCTCGCTTAATTCTGTTTTATTTTTTGATAATTTTAACATTCGATTTTTTTTTTACAAAGCCATTAGGTCTGAGGAATTTTCATTAACCCGATTTATATTTCACTTACCTTCTGATATTAACTAAATTCAATATTTATCTTTTTCACTATTATGACTTATCAGTAGGTAATAAATATTGAATATTTCACAAATACATGATTCATTAACTTGATCAAACTCTGATAATATTTATAATATCAATGAAAATCCTCTACTTCCTGTGTGAATGGGGAGCTGCTTAAGCGTATTAAAACTTGTGTAGGTACCGTTTATGTTGTACATACAGCATCATATCAAAGTCTCATAGTTTCAATTTCATAATTCTCATTGCAATTAGGAAGACCTCTTAGATTACAAATGTTCCAGAGAATTTAGCTAAGCCAAGCCAAAATACAACTTTTTTATTTCATTTTTAGTTCGGTCTTGACAGTCGTGCTTTTATATATTTTTTTAAATTTTTTTAAAATATATAAAATATAAGTTAATTTTGAATTTGAATCTACAAACACTGTACTCTTGTAAATTGAGTTGGATAAGACTTCGAAGGGGTTTTAGCTGTCTGAAGAAAATCTAAAATCACAAGAAGCAAAAGTAATAGGGCTGACGACTATTGCAATGACGTCACGTCTATGTGATTTTCTACATAATAGTTGTGACGTTGTACCTACTCCTTTACATTTCTTGTTAACTCGAAGCAAAAAATAATACGTACTTTTCTATTAGCTGACTGAGGAACTAATAAGATTTTTTTATCCAGACATCATCCCTGATTATCCCTATTTCTCTATGAAATCAAAGATTCAAAGCTACCTCTCCATTTTCCAAGGGCTTGGGGCTGGCGAACTGCGTGGAACAGGTCGGTTTCTCAGCTCTATTGGCCCTCTTGGCCGCTCGCTTCGCTTTTCTTCTCCGCCTCTCGGGTCGCAGGTCCCACAATTTCTTGCAATGATCCCGGTCTCCGAAAGCGCGTATCATTCGCCAATCATCACCGTGTTCTGATGAAGACACTTCTAGTGACCATGCCAGAGGTCTAGGCGAAGGTCCTGCCTTCACTATCACATGGAGCAGTTCCATTTTCTGAAATAATAATTAGTTAATGTATTTCAAGTCTGTCTTTGAATCAGTTCGAAAGTAATTTTGGTTAAACTGTTTATTGACAAATAAATATAAGTATTCTTCTTTAGAAAACTGCAACGAGATGAATTTCTCTTTCGTTTTTTTTTAATCGACTTTCCCCTAACTTTCTTTAGTAATCCTAAAATTTGAAACTTGTAGTCGTTGTATTCTTAAGGTTTCGTTTATACCTCTTCGAAACATTTTTTATTGTTACAATAACTCTTTTTATATTGTTTGGATGGGTGGCCAAAACCTTAGACATTTAAAACAGTATCCGGCAACATATCAGAAACGGCAGTAACCATATCAAAGACAACATTCGGTACAGTCAACAACGCGTCATGTTACATTGAATTTATGAACTTTTTCCGCTTGATTTTTAACCTTAATGCATTGAAGGCAGATTTTTAAATCAATTCTAAATCTAAACTAAATCAATTTTACTTTAGTTTTCGAAATAACTTAACACGTAAGCCTCAATAAAAAATATAGTAAATAGAAATATCTTGATCTTCAGTTACCCGCGGATGTACCAACGTGTTCCAAGTGGAAAATAGAATAAAGGCTCTTGTCATATAAGTTAACTTTACTCTCCAGTCTTCATCGTCATGAAAAAGGACAAATAAACAAACAAATTTTCTAATTATAATATTAATATGGAATATGAATATATTTATTATATACCTAACTATAATATCTTACACAACCTTCCGAGATATTATTATGAACAAAGGCGTTAACTAAACTATAACTTTCTGATATGACTCTGTACAGTGTCATACCGCACATACTTAATTTATTTGATTAAACTGCGTTCTATTTGAGGCGCCCGCGTCATTATAGATTAATGTATAAATATCTTACATTTTTATGATCAATATGCAATTAAACATTGAAATATCAAGAAAAGAATAGCCTTATAACTACTTGTACTATTTATTTAACTGTGGATCTTTTCTTTGGGTACTCTTAAACGAACTTAACATCTGAAAGTGTAAATTAACTGGCGTTCACAGATTCTATCAACCGACTTTGTGATTTGTATCTCGGAAACATTATGATTTAAGATAATTTTTATACAGATTTACGTTTATATTTATGTCGGATACTTATTAGAGAAATATGTTTTGTGTTCAAAGAATTGAAACAAAAGTTGTCTTATATCGCAATCGGTAATATTAATCTAGACATTATTCTCTTCACTCATCGTCCAAGATTCCGTTATACCGTGATAGTGTACGCATTGAATCTATTGAACGCTATTATCGATCGATCTTGTGTAGTGAACAGCTATTTGGTAATTCGTATGGAAGCAACTGGATCCCATCATTGGCCATGTAGGGCTCGGCTAACGAGAAGCGTGCGCGAGCGCAGGTATGCGAGCCGCCAGCACTTTTTGTCGTTGTTATAGTTTATTGCAGTTGGGTCGAGAAAAACCATAGGACGCAGAAAGACGATGAAATTGTTATTTAATTAAACAAGAAAATGCTTGTGCTGGAAGAATGCACCGTTCTAATGATGAACAACTAACTATATTTTGTTCCGATGCTATAAATAATTCTCAACATATTCCGTATAATAATAAAAAACTGATCTCTCTAATGAGGAAGTATTTAAAAAAAAACAGCTCACTAGATGGCGATTCAACAAAAAGTTGATATTTGCAGGAAACGAATGGACCAAAGATATTAATTTCCGTTCCTTTTAACTAACCTATTAAAAAAATGAAATTTGCAAAGTTCGAAACTTAGACATCAACACAAATACGAAAAAGTTCAAATAGAATATGAGTTGTTTATTGAGTTTTGAAAATTAATTTACTTTGATACATGAAAGAAAACCGGAACTAATGTTTTTTTTAAAGTCAAAGTCAAAGTCAAAATAATCTTTATTCAAATAGACTTCTTAAAAGTACTTTTGAATCGTCCAACATTTTTTCCCTACCACTCGTTCAGAACGTCTTTTGGCTGATAAGAAGAACGAGCAAGAAACTCACCAGCTTTAATAAGAGTAATGACATTTACAAAAACCAAGTCATTACCAGATCAATACATTATAAACAGAGATAGAAAAAAAAACTATGGTCTTATAATAATAACATAATCATTTAATAATAATGGAAACAAGATAATGAGTTTAGAAGTAATCACCTATCCAGTTGCTGGATCATCTCAAGTCCAAGCGTTCTTATCTGTTATATAATCGGATACCTTATAATAAGCTTTTTTAATAAGTATTTTTTAAATAATAGATTTAAACTGCATGATATCTAATTGTTGTATTTTGCTTGGGACCTTATTGTAGAAGCGCACATAAAGACCCTTGAATGAGTTATTAACTTTTTGCAGTCTAGTGACAGGCACCGTTAATTTATTTTTATTTCTTGTATTAAAATTGTGTACGTCACTTTTTATAGAAAACAAACTAATATTTTTACGAACGTACTATCATTATATCATTAACGTACTATCACAACGTACAAAAATTGTTTATATGTCGGCAGCATTTCCCCACAATAGGATACCGTACGACATAACACTATGAAAGTAACTGAAGTATACTAATCTGGCAGTATCTATGTCAGTTAACCTACGTATCTTCATTACGGCCCATGTTATTATCTTTTATATTAACATTTATATCTACTTTTTTAACATTAGGTAGTACAAATTTTAAGCATTTTGTTATTCCCTCATTAAGGAGAAGATTATTTACATTAAACTAATGTACTACTTTAGCGATAGAATTGTTCACATCGTCATTTAGAGGTAACCTTCTTTTAATTTTAAACAAGAGTGAAGTGTCATCCGCAAACAAAACTATTTCGTGATCATCCCTTACGAAATAAGGCAAGTCATTTATGTAAATCAAAAACAAGAAAGGACCAAGTATTGAGCCCTGCGGAACGCCCATCTTAATTTTCGATCCAGGGGATCTTTGCCATTGATATCAACCCTCTGTACTCTGTCAGTCAAGTATGAGACAGTAAAATCCAATGAGTTATCTTTAAATCCATAAAAATGCAGTTTCCTAATCAATGTTTCATGAAAAACACAATTAAATGCCTTAGATAGGTCACAGAAAACACCTAACGCATCATGTGAATCCTCCCAGGCATTAAAAATTTCTTGTATTAACTCGACACCGGCTTCGGGCGATGTCGAGCGACCCCTTGTAAAACCAAATTGTACTTATACTTTCTCACTAAGATTGTGTATAAATGAAGGGACTATAGTTTTGCTGAAAATCAAAATATACCTATCCGTAATTGAAAAATAAATATCAGATAAGATGATAACGATAAATGAATTAGCGAACATTGTACTGTAAAATTAAATTTACTTAGAAGTCAAATATAAGGTTAATTAGTATTCTAAATAATTTTATACAACACACACAAGTACCTACTTGACAATTTTCATAGTAATATATAATGAAGTTTCAACCCTTAACGTACAGATTGGAAATCAGTCAAGCTCAATCTTTATTTCAAATAAGTCAATCCATGGAAATTTGTGCCGCTCAGTTTGTATGGGAAAATTAATTCTTGTTTTTTACAATTTACCTCTGAATTTTAATGCTTATGTTTTTTTTTTAAATATGTGTTGACATTTTAAAAGAAAATTCTTTATTTTGAGTTTTAATTTAAATTATTCGAGAGAGATTCGAGTTTTTTCTTAACCGAAGTCATATTTATTTATACACACAACTGTTCTTAAATCAGAGATTAATTTATCTAAGAGAACGGAAGCCGCATCACACCGGGCCAGCGCTATCAGCTTATCGTGAGGATAGATAAAGAAATTCAGCTCGCCCTGATACAAGTTATCAGTCATATCGTCATGTGAGCTCTGCGCAAATACACGTGGCCATGGCGAAAGCACCAAACAAAGACGCACTCCAGGAGTTGAGGGTGGATTCCCTGACGCATAAGCCGCGGAGGGGACGTTTGGGAAATAACACTGGGAATATTGTGACGGGAAGATCAGATTTTGTGTACGTGAATCCTGTTTTTGTAGCCAGCACGCATAATGTGAGGATACAGGAGCAACAGAGGTCGATACAAGCGCCTACGAGGTTGGTTTCAAGTGACAGGGTCCTGTATGAAATATATCTGTATATTCACCATTAGTTTTCCAATCAAAGTGATGTAATGTAGCAATTGATTAGTGTGATAAGCCAGTCGGTTTCGCGACTGGCTTACTAATCCTAAAGGTGCTTCTGTGATTTTGATTTCGAAAAAGTGAATCTATCAAGGTGTTATTGCTTAAACAGCAACTTGAAAATAATTTTGAAGTTTCGTTATTCTTGTCCCAAAGGTTCAAGGTAATTTTTATTTATCTAAATACCAAATACGGGGATGACCCGAAAGATTGTAATTTTATTTTGATACCGATGAATGACAGTCAATAGTTAATAGGCAATCATACGCATACCTGTTTCTCTCTATCTGTTTATCTATAGCAGTGAGCTACACAGTTATTACTTACCGTATTGATTAGCAAATTTGACTCCCCTAATGCGGACGCTACCTTCCGAACGCCGCATAAGGGCCTAATCGACCGATCAAAAAGCGCTTTAGAATAATCATGCAAAGAATTAGAATACGATGTACTTTTAGCAACTGATTCATATGCTACATTATCATCGAAACACGCTCTTGCTATTTATTTTTAAACTTCGTCGAAATTCGTGAAAGTGAACATTTTAGAATGATCGATAAAGTCAAGAATTATATTTAATAATGCAAATTATTAGAACTCAATTTGATACTACCACTAGTGATAGAGTCACGCACACGCTTTTTCAAAGATTGAGTTGCCGGATTTTTTGTTGTAAAAGAAGGTAATACATGGATTTCTGATTTTAGTTTGATTTGAAAACTAGAAAAATTCATATATAAAAAAAATTTTTTGCGCTAAAAAGAAAACTTGTAAATTATTTTTGAAAAATTAATTAACATTTCTTCTCTTATATAATAGCTAATATAAAATTCTACCTGATACCATGATATAGTCATCGCTTTCATCGATAATCGTCATTGTATATAGTTAATTACTGTTTAGAGATAAATAAAAAAAAACAATTATAATCTGTTATGATAAATATGCCATAATATCGATGTAATTATATATAAAAAGAAACTACTAAAATACCTATCATTAGATGGCAGCACTTTGTTTGAAACATTTCTGTCACCCAACAATGATGTCAAAATTTCAGTTAAAAAAAAAAAAGTTATGAGCCTTAGGTATCAAACGAAATACCTAGAGCGAAAGCGAGAAATGCGATGACGATGTACATATTATTATTCAAATGAAAAGTCAGTTCAATGCAATTCAACCAGAATGAAAATCAGAACACAATTCATACATACAGGTCAACATGAATGTTGAGTTTAAGTTCTGTATCTATGATTTTGATTTCATATGACTAAAAAAAATGAAAAATATTTTTATCTAATAAGTTTTGCTTTTGTTGCTTGCATTAGGACATTACAAATTTTAAGGAAAAACATCTATTTTTCTATTTCAATTATATTTAAAAGAAAAACAAGTTATAACTTATGTATTCTATTAATTTTAATTATAGCAGGTGGTATAAATAAACGTAAAAATACAAAAAAGCTTTAAAAACTCATCGTCTTCGTATTTTTTTATTCTATTATGTTTAGTATATATTTTTTGGGGGCTTTTGTCTTTAAAACACGACAGCCCCATCGATACAGAAAAAAAAAATACTTACATACTATTTCGTTTTCTATCTGAGTAGATTTGTGAAGGCATTGCTCCATATTTTTTTAAAAGACAGAACTTTCGCGTACGGACTCCCAAGTGTAGTCACCCATCATGTTCTCATTATATTGCCCTCGATACTATCGTTCAAAGTTCATTATATACTGGTGGAAGCGTACCCCTTGTCTTTCTGAATATTTATCCAAGTTGTCTTTGAATTTATCCAAGTTCGCATGAAAGATGCCTGTAGAGAAATAAGCTCCTTCTTGTTGCCAAGGAAGCCATAGATGACTGTTTTAAGGTTAAGCCACGTTTATTACTTTAAGAAATTTTTCACTCGCCATTATTTTTTTTTATTTGTGGACCAACGAATAGACCAGTTTTCATTTTAGTTTCTGACCAAAGTAAAGGCCTCAGAGTATTGACGAAGAGCCTTTATAAACTGCTTCATAAGACCGTAATTTTATGTACAGTGGAGGCATTAAGACCGGATAAACAGTTCACGTCATCTTCACACTTTTTGAATGACATTCTTAGATTATAAGGCACATAAAATTCGTTAAAAAATGAGTTACGTGTACTGCCGTGACACTCTGCCAACTCCTCCTACAGACCCACAGTCACCTTCACCCACTCTTGCATCATAAATGCAACAGCCTTTCAAGAAATGTGCCAAAACACCATATATTTTTTTTTTGCAAATAAAAGCAAACTTTATTTACTATGAATAAAGTTTCTATTTATTATTCGCTGTGTATAATCAGAAAATAATCACTAAATATCAGACTCTAAAAAAATATTTTTTTGTTGACATGTGATTTGACTCAAAAAGAGCGACAAAGCAATAATTTATAGTAAAAAATGTTAAAGTGATAAGTGATGGTATCTATCTTTATTCGCAAAAGGAATTGCTCTGTCGCTCTTCCTCTTTGCACTACCGCATTTGAGACTCTACTGACATGATGCCGACCGCCGCGACTGTACTTTCTAAACTAATCTTTAATACTTCCTTATTTAATTATACACAGCAAACAACAAATGATTGGTAAATAGATAATTTAATTCTTGGTCAATTTTCACGCTCCTAAATCAACTAGTGACAGTCAGCAGCCCTAATAATAACAATCAGTATTACGATAAAAATAACAAAGTCCGCGATACTACGTCGAACTGATATCATGTGCCCAGTTACATTATCCCTATATCAATATTTCTAACAATTATAACGTTTAATTTGCCTATTCATTTTAGCAACCTTTAATTTAGTTACTCGAGTAACTATATTAAAGGTTTCCAAAAAGTCATTACTGGTATTATACAACATTCTCACATAATATTGTCTGTTCTTTATTTCGATTAAAGATATAGTCTTTCCCAACGATTTGACCGAAAAAGTGGTCAAATACTTACACATAATACTATCCATATCATCACCAGCCCCTGTACGTCCCCACTCCAAGGGCTCAGGCCTTCTTATGTATGGTTAAAGAGGATAGGCCATGACCGTTGGCCTAATGTGGATTGGAGGGTATTAAGAACTGCAAGTGCAACCGGAACCTACGACTTAACGTGCCTATCGCAGCACGGAGTAGCTCGACACAGTAATTATTTGGTCACCCAACCCGTGGTCACCCAACCCGTGACCGACCCTTGTGAAAGTTGCTTAACAACAACAATCGTGGGCTGCTGTGCGATTGTCCACTACGCCACCGAGCTACTCTTATAGATTCATATCATCACTTTTGTATGCTTATTCTTTAGAAATGAAAGTTCTTTTTTTGCTTTCAGTGTGGTCATCGAGCAATACTGGGCCTGTTCGAGGTGGACCTCAGGGCAGAGGTTTCTGGCTATTGCGGTCGCAGTACTTCTTGGCGCAGTTGTAGGGCTGGCAGTAACTGTTGTCCTTACCAAAGGCAATCCAAACGACCTCGTCGGAGGTGGTATATTCAGCAGATTCAATTCTGCGCCCGATTAAAACCTTAATATTATCGTAATAAGGTTTTATTTATGCGTGAGCTTTAACATGGCCCGGGCTGTGATCTATGACTTTTTAGAATCAATATTTATTTTATTTACATTTAGGATCATTTTTTATTAAAAAAGAACGTGATGAAATGAACTGTTACTAAAAAGCTGAAAGTGAGTGTGTAAATGTTCTTTTTAAGTGCCTGAAATGTCAGGAATTGACTTAATCTTTTTTAGACAACCTTAGAAAATTGTTTTCTGGTACTGGCAACATGTAACTCGCACATTTTGTGGAATACCTAGTCTACATATCTAATGCCGAGCTCGTTCATGTAGTTTTATTGTTTGTTAAACTAAACATCCCTTATTGACTTAAAATCGGTTTGGTTAAATTAAAATTTTCGATTAAAGTATATTTCATACTTTGCCTGAATTTTATACGTAGTTAATCCATAAAACCTGCAGAATTATGCAGGTTGCTGATAACATGGAGGCATAGGCAAATTCAAAGTCAAATTAACGAATTGTAACTTTAGTACAATTCGTACAAATACAAGTCGTTAATCTTAAGTAGATAGTAGACACTTGTTCGATAAGATTTGTGTGGTTTTCGCTGAAAATTGCTTATAAAAACAATATATTTTATCTGTGTTACAGTTATTTTATCAGGCAGGGGCTTTTTGCAAAGTGATTGTTGATAATTCACGAATCCGTCTATTACCAAGTGTCCTATTTTAATTCTGCATATTATTGTATAAACCTTGGACATGGACGATATATTAATTAGCCCATGCTTTGATATATAATATAGGTAATATAAAAAAGTCACACATTGGAAAAAATACTTGATTAACCCTTGGTATGCCTGATGGTAAAAAGTTAAAAGCTATGCCTGGTGGGTCCCTCAGACCCAGATTTTCAATTGGATATTTTTTTTACAAATTCTGTATATTTCTATTTGTTTGGCGTGGTCATTCCTTATAAGGAGATAAACAATATTCTAATAATAATAAAAAAGATACATACTAGTGGAATTCTGTTTGAAATATTTTTAATTATGCTAGATTATTTTATCAACAAGAATATTCATTAAATCTTTGATAACATGTTCTTTCTACCAAATTATAAGAGATCTCAAATCAAACTTTATAGCACGTAAGGCACTAACATACGCTTATATATTACTTTAAAATAATCAGTCTTCTTCACTCGCATCAACGTTTTCTTGGGATTTTGTTTCATAGCATTTTGTGTGCATGATCAAGACAAATGTGACTTTTGATAGACAAATGTACCTTGTTTTGGTTAACATGCCGCTGCGGTGTGTCTGACGAACCCACAGAAATAGGCATGCCGAGGGTTAATACTTTACGCGATTAATAGCGAGAAAGAAAATTTTGTAAAATTAGCATCCATGTATATGCTTTCGAGCATATAGTAAACATTAGTTCTTAGTGTCATAATATCCCGAGTAGTAATATTATTTTTAAAAGTAAATTTATCGAACAAAAATATGATTGTTATTTGTTCATATTATAAGAATAGATTTCATTGGCAACATTACTGTATGGGTCTTTAATGTTGATATAATGTCAATTAATATTAATTTGAAACAAAGTCAAAGTCAAAATAATCTTTATTCAAATAGACTTCATAAAAGTACTTTAAAAGTTATAGACTTCATTAAAAATTATATAAATTGTAAACAAATATATATTACGAATCGATGACTTCGTCATGTTAGCATTTATTTTTCGTATTAAAGAGAATAATATTATGTAGTTGTATAAATTACCTCGAAATATTTCTAGAATTTTCCAATGTCATCAATTATTTATTTCAAGTGTAAATAATATCTATTTGACTATTTGATTTGCCTACATTGTCTGTCAACGGTAATTTTATTTGAAATTCTTATTTAGTAAATAAGCGAAAGGCGAATAATTTTAATTTTATTTTATTATGTACAGTCGCGTAACAAGGCTTTCTGCCACCTCAAGGTGATTACTTCTTGGGTTCGATGACTAAAGTCGGTGGAAAAATTTCTGCGCTAGAATTATCTAAAGAACTTTGTGTGCCATTCTTCGAACGTAGGTAAAAATAAGATATTATTAAGGGAGCGTGTATACCAAAATATTCTGTACGTCGCCTTTAATTGATTTTGTACAAAGAAATAACCGCCAAACGAGTTGTGATCAAAACCGCAAAACTACATAGTATATGTAAAGTGGTTACACAATAACCTTAAAACAAACCCAAATAAAAATTAGGTTTTTTTTTTACTTTATTTTATTTTATTGGAAGTGTGAAATAATAATTATAAACCTGTTTTGTGTATTATATTGAAATCAACATATCAGTATTGTAACTAATAATAAATAATGTCATATTTAAATTCAGTTTTTTTTTAGTTTCTGTATCCAAAAGAACCCTAATTGGATTAGCATATTGATATACCTTTGCTGTCTGTTACAACAAAATACAAAATATTTGCAATTAAAATTAAACTTAACAAGAAAACAAATAATTACTTAAAGTTTGGCCTTTGCAGTTATTCAAATCAACCTGAGATAGGTAAATACCAATTGTCTTAAAGTACATTTCTAAAGCCTTCTACAAGAAATAATTAACTGAAACTTTTCTAAAATAAAACCTACTACAAAACGTGAAAAATAAAAGCCTGGTTGGCTGAAAAAAACATATGATACTAGCCATTACATTTTATGCATGTGGCATTTACAGTGCTACACAAAAAAAATGCTTAAAAAGATCCACTTTGTCCCTGCACTATATGAGATAATTGATCACAGAATAAATAAACAAATTAAGACACTAAATCACTAAACAAATACATATTACGTTGCGTTCATTGTTGAATGACATTTATGAATCAGATATTCACTAGCGCCGACGAGTATGGCTGAGTACATATTGAGAGAACGACGGGCAACGAACATCAAAGGTACATTGGATAATAAATCTTATTCTAATATTATAAGAACCAATCGAAGCTCAAAGTAACATACCCATACCCATTTTTTTTATTATTATTCAGAAACTCCACAGCTTATTTATAAATACATACTATAATAATGTGATGCGAAAGTAACTTAAGCCAATTACAGAGTTACACAACTGATAAAAATAGCTAACTTTTTCGACTAATTACACAAATGAAATCCAAATAAAAGATAATAAATATAAAAAACACGCCCGCACAAGGAGACAGATTCTCTCATTTAGTACTTCATTATATAAAATTTGAGGCAATATCAAGCACACGGTAATTCTTATATGTTCTTATTTATGTTTATGTTATACGTTTATAAATATATAGATACCACATACCGAAACTGACAAATACATGGACATATAACACAACGCAACCAACACATCACCACATCCATATGCACGAAATCTGTCTATAATTCACGAAGAAATGCTTACACATAAAAATACGAACCAGTCGAATATAGACCCTTAGAAATCGGTTAAAAGATTTTGAGCTTGTATCCATTACGGCAATTTTACAGATTTATAATATTGCATACAAATGCAATGATATAAATCTGTAAAATGGCGGAAACCTTTGTTTGAAAAACTGTAGTAGTCACTGGAGTCTCAAAATCTAATGAAGTCACTTTGCAATCAGACTTCGCTGCACGAAATAAAACAGTGAGATAAAAGCAGCCCTTGAGTTTCTTGCCTTTACAAGGTCTCCTTAGTACAAGGTCTCTAGACCGCAGATTTGCAAACCAGCAACATAGTTTTAGACACTCACGAATGCTTGTAACAGTCTAGACTGAATAAATAATATGGAAATTGACTTTGAAACGCTCCTTGAAGTAATAAGAAAGTGTGGGTAAAAAGGATGTAATATAGGCGTGACTTAATGTGACAGCCTCTTCTACATGAGATAGGTAGCCATTGAGGTTGGGCTCAACCACGACAATGAAAGATATTATTAGAGAGTTTATCTTTCATATAGTTTTTATATCAAGTGCGTAGTAAACGCGCCTGTCAGGTGTTCGATAACGGTAAAACACTCCGCACGTATTCTAGAGAAGTCTGAATTAGGAAAAACTTGAATAAACATAAACCAATTTTATTACATTGCTAAGGTAAGGACTCCGCTGTCCGTCTGTCACCAGGCTGTATTTCATAAACCACTGTAGTCAGACAGTTGAAATTTATACCTATTTCTACCGAATTATGTACCTATTTCTGTTGCAACAAAATTTTCAAAGTTAAATAACTAATACTTAAAAATATAGTTTTTTTTTCATACACAATGGTACAGAAATCTTTGTGTGCGAATTCGACGCGCACTCTGCATTTTTTAATTGTGTTTTAAAATGTCATTGGATATTTTGGTCACAATTTAATTATGAGTTAAAGGGCACTCGTGTCTCAACTCGCCCGCTCGGGTCGGTCGCACGGCTCGTATCAAAGTAATTAAACGTGTTGATTTACAACTTGACAAGACTTCATTTACAACTCCGCTGATATTAATCTCCAAATAATATATGTATTACTTTCTGGCCGTGGCTTCGTCTGTAATACAACATAATAGAGGTATCGCTCAGAAACAACCAAAAAATCCATAAACAAATATAATATAATGAATAATTTGACGATTAAACAAATATTCTAATTTTGACATAAATTATGACAAAAAAAAACATAATATTTAAATTATACTATACTTTGATGTCAAAGTGACCTGTCACTTGGTCCCGATCAACGAACTTTTGCCGTACTGCTTTAGCCTTCAGAGCACAGAGATACAAATATTATTTTTATAGTACAATTAGTAAAAATTTTATATGAAAGTTCGTCCACACTATCTTGACGTTAACTAACATTTAACATTCATATACAATTTCCATCTAACCTTATCAATTGCACCATAGTCCCTGGGCTAATAATATCCAGCCAGCCAGAGGGAAGCAATACATTTTTCGTCGTCCTATCCTGCCACCTTCTATCCTTCATCTAACTACTATTAGAATAATTTCGAAAACCTCTATTAACAGTAATGTAATTGTTACTAGCAATAATAAAATATTTCTAAAAAAATATTGCCGTATAGATGCTTCATCGAGCACAAGCATAATTCCGTTTCTTTTTCGATAACAATCGCAGTGCAGTTAATTCGCACGCG